CTTCCCTCCCGGCGCCACGGCCCCCTCCCACTTCCCCGCCGGGACAGCCCGGCCCCTTCCCGTGCCGGAGCACTCCCCTGGCCTCCCCTCATTCCCGCTCGCTCGGACATTATCTTGTAATCATTGCCTTCCTTCCTTGGTCCCCGCAAGAGAAGGGAGTGGCGGACCCCAGAAGAGGGTGAGGCGGAGGGGTGGTCCTAAGGGAATGTGTCAAAACGTGGGCATAACCTTAGGGTGTGGGGAGACTGACGGAGGGCTGCGGTGCGCCTGGTGGGAACGCAGGGAAGAGCGTGGGTCCTCCTGCCAGCTGGCGCTGGGATCTAAGTTCGGTTAGGGACCCCCATTCCGCTCCACTCCCAGCCTCTCTGGCAGCAGCTTTGGCAGAGTCTGAGCTATTCAAGCTCCTGCACCCTCCAGCTCCAAGGCAGGTGGTGTTCTGGTCTTCTGTGGGGCCATAGCTTTCATTCCCCAATACCAACTGAAAATCAAAATGGCTCACCACTGTAATCCCAGTATTCTGGGAGGATGAAGCAGAAGGATCTCATGATTGAGCCCAGACTGGGCAGCTTAATTTAGTGAAACTCTGTCTCAAAATTTAAAAAATAGGGTGAAGGGAGTGAAAGGAGGGCAGGGGTACTGGGAAAAAATAAGAACCAAGACATACCATGTAAAGGTACAAGACCCAATGATAAATGTAACTGTATTTGTTTGCTTTAAATGTACCAATAAACTTAATGGGAAAGATTTGAAAAAATAAAAAAAAGGGCTGGGAACGTAGCTCACTGCTAAATCCTTGGGTTCAATCTTCAGTACAAGAAGAAGAAGAGGAGGAGGAGGAGAGGGGCGGCTTCAACACCTAGAAAGCAGCTTGAGAGCATGTGACCCTGTGTGGGGGAGGGAGGTGACAATAAAGGGGGCTTCCTGTAGGGCAAGAGAAGGGCTAATATCTGCAAATTCCCACAGAGCCACCCCCTCCCATTTCCTGAGTCAGAGCCTCCAAAGCCCAGAAGAAAGGGCAGGCTCTGGGACCCAGAGCTCCATCCCCTGAGATTAGGCTTAAGGTGGGGCTGGTGGTGAGCTCTGGAGGAAGTGGTCCACCCTGGGCACCCGGGAGCCAAGCCTCCGGGATTTCTTCCTGCTGCCAACTGGGCTCTGGCCTTGTGTGCTACAAGGCTTTCATCTCCAACCCCCAGTGTTCCCTTCCTGCCTTGGCCAGACTGCCCTGTCTCTGCCTCCCTGGTTGTCAGCTCCTGGCATTCTTAACCCCCCCACTCCATCCCACCCTGCACATCAGGCTCTCCTCAGCTTTGGCTAACATTCAAACATGTTTATTGACTCCTGGGGCCAAGGCAGATCTCAAAGGCAGTTTGGGCACAGCAGGGACTGCACTCAAGAAAGATGAGGGCTGCAGGGAGTGATCCTGGCTCCTATAGGCAGTGTGAGGTGCTTCAGTTTCCTCCTTATACTGGCCCTGTGGCCACTCCAGGCTTCAGGATCTGGCAAGCATCTTTTCACACTTACTGCTGGGGGTGCTGCCTCCTCTTCCTCATGCCAAAGGGTATCGGGCCCTGCTTGGTGAAGGTAGTTGTGTGGTGTGCTGTCATGTGGTTGTTGTTTCCACTCTGCAGCCACTTGCAGTTTTGTATAGTAACAGAGGGCCCTTTAAGAATGAGAGTGGCGGTGTTGGGAGGGTTTAGAGTCGGAAAGAGGAGGTCTGCAAACCCACTGGGGAGGAGGACAGCGGCGCCTCGTGTTCACCTGGGGGAAATACAAGGGGGAACTCGCCTGCCACTGGCTGTGTCAAGGTGTGTGCCCTGTGCCTCAATCCCAAGTTTTTCCTGGTAAGGGAACAGTTACGCCAATTTCTCACCTGATTCCCTTGGGCTCCAGGACTTGGAGTTCCAGTCACAATGGGCCTGCCTGTCTGGTTTTGGAAAGGTAAGGTCTCTGGAGTTTGGAGAGTTTGGGCCATTGAATATGAAGAGGTCCCTGCTGTCCTGGCATGCTGAACCTGCTCTTTCTGTGCCCTCCTCTCCTCAGTAAAGCCTGTGCATGTTTCAGGAACTGAGGTGGGGAACTGCTTTAGCCTCAGGCAGTTCAGACTCTCAGACAACATGGAACCAATCTTCGTGCATTGGCTTCCAGTGGTTCCCCCATCCATTTCTGTCCCTCTTTGGCTTGGCTCTGGGGCAGACAACCTCCTATTGCTGCTCCTGTGCTCAGACAGAAATTTTGTCACCTACGGAGACAGGAGGAGCTTGTGGGGCATGAGCTGGAAGAGCCAGAGTAAATGTGCCTAGTAACTCTGGGGTGGGTTGGGGAGAGCAAGGACAAAAGTCAAGGCACACACAACAGTGCTCAGTAGGGAGTCACTGGGTGGCCCAGGGAGTCAAGTGTGCCATTCCTGGTCAGATCCTGGGTGGGGGATGTGGTTGGGCACTCACCTTGGAGATGGCATCACTCATTTTATCATGTACCCTTCAAAAGGCTTTTTTGGTTGTTTCCTGGCATTCTGAGAGATGGCAGAGTGGGTTGCAGGTGAGCAAACAGTTTTTCTTGGGAAAAGCCTTCTGCTCACAGACCCAGGCCTACTCTAGTTGGCAGTGAATTGACAGCTCACTAGGGAAAAAGGGGAGCCTATCACTGGGCTCATGGCTCCAGAAGCGCTGCATCAGATTCTCCAGTTCTTCCAAGCCTGGAGTCTCAGGGCTGGACGGAGGCAGCTCAGTCAGTGGGGGCTGGATCCGCTTCTCAGCCACTGTTTCACGGATCAGTGATATCTGGGGCACCACTGTGGAGGGTGGAAGGGTGACAGAAAAGGCACTCAGGGTCCGAGGGGATACCTGTCCCTTTGGCCGAAGAGGAAGTACAGAAGACAGTCTGAGTAGCTAAGCTGGAAGGGGAGGGCTCAGGGCTTTCAGGAGGCTAACTGGGATTAGAACCCCAAAGTCTGCTTACTTTTACCCTCGGGTTCTCTTCCTGCAACACTGCCTACAAGAGGATCCCAAAGCTGCAGAAAACACAGGCAGCCACCTGGCCAGCCACTGGCAAGATTCCTTTCCCAGATACCCTGTCCTAAAAGGGGCTTCAGAGAGGTGTAGAAATCCGGGATGTGTGTTTGGGGTGGGTACCTTACCTGTAGACATCACTGGCCTTGGTCGCCTTCTTGAATATATCAGCCAACAATTCTGGGGCCAAATAAGCCAGGGTGCCCCCTGGCTCCTGGAACCTGCACCCTGTTCCTGACTGTGACTTGCCCTGAAATGTGGAGAGGCCAAAATCTGCCAACTGCAAAGGAAGGGAAGGAGGAAGACTTGAACCAAGTGGACCGGACTGCCACTAGAATTCTCCCTTTCCTTGCAGAAGATGCAGGGCCTGTCTTATAAAGGGAGTGAGGAAAGGGAGATTCGGTGGGGGCTTGAGTGGGAAATCTAGGTCTCCTGTGGGTGGGTATGGGCCACAGAGTGACTGAACAGCGTCCTTCCTGACAGGGCTGTCTCCTGGGCTGAATCTGCCATGGTTCTTTGGAGGCTCTGGTGGGGTGAGTCCATGGAACTGTCATGGATCAGGACCTCTATTGCCTGGTGTGGCAGAGGCTAAAATTCCTGGCTGGGCTTTGACCTCTGGGCAGTCCAGAGCAAAAGCTGAGGGTACTCAGCAGATAGGGCTGCCACAGGACCTGTTCCAGTGGGTGGGGCAGTGACAGCTCTGGGGGTGGGGGTTGGGGATTGGGGGGGCTTCTCCCAAGGTTGGGCTGGGTGTGAGTGGGCTGACCTTGGCGTGCAGTTTTGTGTCTAGCAAGACATTGGAGGGCTTGAGGTCCCGGCGCAGTAGCACGGAGTTCAGAATGTGCAGATAACTCATCCCGAGCACCATTTCCAGCAGCAGGCGGCAGACTAGCGGCCAGGGCGAGGGCAGTCCCGCTGCAGCAGCCCGGACAAGGAGCTGTTCTCCAAGAATGGTGTCACCAGAGCTGGCCCAGACACGCCTTCCCACTGCAGGTTCTCGGCCACTCCTAGAAGCCTCAACACGTACTGCCTATGTGGATTTGCCATGCCCTCACCAACTCGGATATCGCCTCCCTAAAGAGAAAGCTGCGTGGTGCGGTTTCCCGGAAAGACCTCTCCCTTCCCGGTGCAGGCGGGTAGCTCAGTGGCCCCGCCCCCTTTGGCAGCCCTCAGCCCGGACACTCACAAATTCACTATCTTGGCTATCACATCTCGGTCCCCCTTCCTACGCTGTGCCCAGAACACCGCCCCGAACTGCCTTGGCCTACAGACTCTTGGTTCTTCAAGTCCTCGCAGGACACCAGAGGGGTGGAGGCACCGACGGGCCTGAGAGAGGGGTCTTGTCCACTAGCCAGCTGGCCATGCCGCACTCCGCGCTGCTACCCTCAGTTCTGGGGACCCCCACCCCTTCCCCGCATTTGTCAATCTCTAGCTTCCGGCGCCCCCACTAGGTCCCTGGCTTCTCAAAGGCTTCTCTGAGTCTCTGTAGGGTGCCCTCTCCCGCTCCCCACTCCCCACAGATTTGAGACATCAGGCCGCCAGCTGCAAGAGACTTTTGGAAGTTGTGCAGATGGAGCGACTTCTGAAGCTGGGCTTTTCTTGATCCTGGGGGTTGGGATCTGTAGAGGGGGTCACTCTAGGTCAAGGCACAGGTTCCCCTTCCCAGGACGTTCTGCTACGAGAGTGACTCAATCACTTCCTCCACCCACAGGCTCCTCGACAGTCCTGCCCCACCTCACCCGGTGAGGTGAGGCAGAAGGAAGGCTAATGTTTTTCTCTTCTGGCTGGTGTTTCCTGTGCACACCCTGTGAGGTGCTGCCAAGCTAGCAGTAGCTGGGCTTTGAGAGTGCCCTGGAAGGAGTCTTCACCTTCCAGGAACCCACATTCAAGTCCCTCCTACAGCCCGCTGTCTTTTCCTTCTCTAGCTGATGCCCAGCTCCAACACCTGCCAGGACTGGGCTGGGGAGGTTTTACAGTCCTATGGTTAGGATTTAATGGTCCCAGGGGTCAGCCTTCCCACAGCTCTCCTGAGATCACAGCTAACACTCCTGTAAAGCTTATCATGTACCCAGTGAGTTTATTTAATTTTACATCAACCCTGAGGGTGTAGATTTATTATATTTCACAAACTAGGAAACTGAGGCACTGACACAGAATAAGTACCTTACCCAAGCACATATGGAAATGACATAAGCCTGGCTCTGAATCATCGTGTTATTCTATTTTCACGTAGACTTCAGGCCTGTACCATTCCACTGGTGATGCAGGTGCCTGGGAGGGAGAACCATTCATCAATGCAGTGAAGGGTCCCTGTCTCTTTTCCTGCCCAGGGCCTGACCACTGCTCTTGCTGAGGCAAGTGCCTGGCCTTGGCAGGGATTTATGCACTCTATAAACAGGAGCTCTGTGCTCAGGTTTGTTTAAATTGTATATGCGTGACAGTTTATCTTGTCTTCCAGTTAACAAGTAATCACTACCTTGTGTGAAACCCACTGTCTTGACAATGTGTTTTAGAGGCAGGGCCATCAGTTCATCCCTGGAGACAGCATCTCACACTTGGGCTGTGAAATCTGCAGCTGCTGGAGAGGCTTTGGTGGCCTCCTTATTCAATGTAGCACCCCAAATGGCCCTTTATGACCCCCAAATGTTCCAATCCAATCTCCTGTAGTATTTCCTGGGTGTAGCATAGGTTTCCCGTCGTTGCAAGCCCTGATTAAGGAATACTCACAAGGTGTGGTGCCACTAAAGATCAGGTCAAGCATGGGGTGTGCATGGCCACAGCAGGTGAGTGGCAGTGAATGCACCTGCAGCTGGGCCAGGAAACAAGAAAGCGAGGCTGAGAGGTTAGGGAAGGGCTAAGGAGAGAGAGGGAGGAAAGAAAGTAGGGGAAGGGACAAGTGGAGAACCCTACTGTCCATACTGGTCGAATGTTTACATTTTTAAAAATGAATCACAGTAAAAGATACATTGTCACCAATGTCCCTCAAAATATTCACCCTGCCACTGCTTCAAATACACCCAAGACATGGTTCTTGCCACTTTCTGAAGCAGTTCTGGAGGTTCTCTTCCATGACTATTTAGTGTGCTGTGGCTGCCTTCGTGGCTCGAATTGATTGAAACTTCTCCTTTTCATGGTCACTTTGACTTTGGGGAAGAACCAGAAGTGAGGAGCCAGATTCAGTGAATAAGATGATTGAGGGCTAAACGTAATTTCCTTTCTTTCTTTCTTTCAACAGGGTCTCATTATGCAGTTCAGGCTGGCCTTGAACTCATTATGTAGTCTAAATTAACCTAGAACTCACAACTATCCTCCTGCCTCAGCCTCCTAAATGCTGGGATTACAGGCGTGCACTACCATGCACCACCATGCCTGGAACAAGCATACTATTTTTATGAGCCTACTTTTCCATCGGATGGCACCCAGAAGCAGCATTCATATACATATGAATTTCACCTTATAAAAACACTCACGAGAGAACTTGCAGAACTGTATCAGAAAGTGTCAACAATGATTGAATAAGTGTATCTGAAGCCAGGAGGAACATTTTGAGGGATTCATGGAAATATTTTTTACTGTGATAAACTTTTAAACGTTCACTGTATATTTCAATCATGACCACAGCCACTTGGAGGGCTTAAAAAAATGCTGATTCTGAGATGACTACTTCCACCCTAGACCAATGAGCCATGGCAATGGGCCCCTACTTGGGTAGCCCCCAAGTAGCTCGGGGCTTTGGGGGACTGGGGAGCATAATACTTTTATAAACAGTTAAACAGAGAAGCTCATAATACACATAAAGTTTAGTTATAATGGTAGGCACTGAAGTGTGCTGCTTATTCTAGTGAAAAATCAGAACCCTGACACTAGCATGGTGGCACATACCTGTAATCCCTGCACTGTGGGAGGCTGAGGCAGGAGGATTGCAAGTTCAGGCCCAGCCTGAGAAATTTAGCAAGATCTTGTCTAAAAATAAAAAAATAAAAATAAAAATGGGGATGGAGGTATAACTCAAAGGCCCTGGTTCAATCTCCAGTGTCACACACACACACACACACACACACACACACAAAACCCTAATATCCGGTAGGAAAGAGAATGAATAAATTATATAATAAAATACAATGCAGCCATTAAATGATGCTGTTGACCTATACTTATTAATGTGAAAGGTATTTATTAAGTGATAAAAGCAGATCAAATAATATTACATTTTTGGTTTGTTTAAAAATTTCTGCCAGAGAGGGCTGGGGATTTAGCTTAGCTCAGTGGTTCTGCCACCTGCCTCACAAGTGCAAGGACCAGAGTTTGATCCCCGGTACCAAAAAAAAAAAAAAAAAAAAACC